GTATAATGTTAAATTCAGGAGTTCAGTGTTTTACTAATATATCCTGTTTTGAAAACCTCTTGTTCAAAAACAAAATGTTTTGAGCAATCAACCAAAATTGTTCCTTTTCTTTTCCTATAGATGTTCTGACAGATTTGCAGGGCTTTCGGCTCACTGTGCTAGTATGTAAAAAGATGTTGTTTACACGAGGCAAAGAGAAAACATGATATTCAGACAGTTGCCAAATAGAATAATTATAGCACAAATACTGTAAAGGTGCCTGGCACCAGCAACCCGAGAAAGTGTTAAAAAAAAAAAAAGTGTTACAAGGTTTAAAAAAAAAACATCTTTGCTAATTTTTAGTCCTGTTGAACATTCATGGAATTGTTAATATGACTTATATAGACCCACACAGGTTTTATTTTTGTGTCTTTAAAATAAAAGTCCAAAATATTTAAATTTTATGGTCAAATATGCAGTCAACAGCTGCTACTTTTTTCTTTATATATTAAAATTTCTCATATGTCTTTTATTGTTCTAATAAACCTAAGCTTGTGTGACCTCCAGTGCATATTAGACCATTCACTGTATGAAAGAAAACATGTTGAATAAATTTGTGAGTTTTTAATAAAAATAGAAAATCTGATGTTTAGATAATTGGTGTGTTATTCGATGTTTTCAACAACTAGAGGGGAGCCCTAATGGGGAGTGGAATGGGCCCTCAGAAGCCAGGAGGAAGGAGAGGCAGGATTGGTTTGATAGATCCGTTTTTGCTCTGGCTGTGGCTGAACCCTTTTGCTAATGCCAGCCAAGCTTCTCTCCATGGCTTCCTGCTGTTATTAACTACAGATTTGCATTCTGTGGATTTAACTGATACAGTTGAAGAGATGTTTGCTGATAAGTTAATATAGAATTTGAAATAGAAATCAAATCCATGGCTAAAAACAAGTGGTCCCGGTCTCTGATTAGACATGAGATACAAAGCATTTTTTCTCCCCATCTCCCTGCACACGTAAAACCAGGCTTGTGAATGTCAGATACTTGTAAATATATAGTTAGAGGTGGTCCTTTTCAGTTTCAATTCATTTCCCATAGATAATCCTGCTTTCTAATTTGGTGGTTTGAAAGATAACGTAAAATGAATGTACAGTACAGTTAGAAATGAAATACTTTAATCCCTTTCACAGAACTGATATGAAATTGTTGTTTTATGGTATTTGTCACATTTGAAGTTCCCTAGAAGGAAACTATTTTGTCTGGCACAAGATACATATTAAGTTTCTCTGAAAGCTGAACAAAACTAACTAATATAGAAATCAAATATCAACTGGGAGTTGCCAATAGGTTCTGAAAAGTAGTTCAATCCTTTCCAAGCCTTCATTAAACTTGGAAAATTTTTGAATATTTTATCTACTATGAAATACTCCTATGTGGGTGTATATGAGTGTTAAAATCAGACAATACTAGAGTTCCAGAATTTCTTTTCCATATCACCTAGATTTCAGTCTGGATTATTTATTTCCTTATTTAAAAAAGCAAAAGTTTTACATTAAATGGCATGTAATTTCCAGTGCTGTTTTCATATTTTGTTAAGACACCGCCAAGTTTATCTTTCCTGCAGAGAAGGCTTTAAAATAAGCAATATTTCACTGCATCCATATGATGGCTTATCTAATGGGGGGAAACTATCAGGGAGGAATCTGGCAGTGTTCTTTCAGAAATAAAAATTTATGAAATACAAGGGAGACTTTTGAAACTCCTAGCCTCTGCATGCAGCACATTTCTTTATCTGCTTTATATGCAATCACTGGATCGGCTTGTTTTTGCCCGTTTAGCATTTATATACATTAAATCATAGCTAACTTATTTATTATAGCCACCACTCCCTACCCCTCTTTAAAGACATTCATTTAACTGAACTATGCTCATTGGGAAGCTGCATTTTCCTATCAAGGCTGCTGAATTATTTAGCAGCTTTATTGTGGAATCGGGGTGTTTGATAAAGAAGCGTTTTAGAGTTGGGCACACGGTGGTGTAGATTTAATTCTTCTAACTCCGTGGCAGCGGCGCAGTATTTCCCCTCGGCGCGGCATTCTGAATCCAAGCGAACACCCGAACAGGTGGCAACGCTCCGCAGTCAGATTTGGAGCCCAAGGCTCGGGAGGAGGACGTCTGGAAATGTCAGGGACCGTTCTCCTCCCCATCAGTGCCCCGTTGCCCACTTCTGGTCCTGAGGTGCGGGGAAGCGCCGCACCATCCCTACGCGAGCTCTGGGTCCGGCCGCCCCGGGGAGCGCAGCCTCCTCCGGGCCGGGCTTGGCAGCCTGGCTTCTCCCCGCGGCCATCTTAAAGCCGCCACCTCTGTACCTCCTGCCACCTGCCCTCAGGGTTCCAGCAGCGGCGAGCCGCCATCTGCTCCGGCGAGGGAGCCGAAGCTCACCCACCCAACTTCTCTGGGCTGGCCGAGGCTGGGGGCCTGCTTTGGGGCGAGACACAGTGGGGAAATGGAATGCATGGGGAACCCGGACGGGCATTGCCTGGGGTCTGGGACCTGGGGGTCGATGGCCTCTGAGGATAGGGGCAGATCTGACCTGGTTTTCCTAAACTCTTGAAATTCCTGGTCAAGTGAACAGACAGTTGTCTGGGACAACTAGGAGGGGCGCGTCTAAAGTCACCCCTGCCCATCCTCCGCTATTCCTACATCTGCCTGCCACCTTGCAGCCCTTCCATGGCACACCTCTGTGAACTGGGAGCCCCTCCAGCCTTCTCTGGAGAGGAGTGTTCTGTGGGGGGACTGGTCTCCCTGCTTCTCTCATCTGCTCTCATCTCTAAAGCAGTCACAGGTTGAGATTTCTTCTGGACAGGTATAGTCTTTGAAATATCCACTCCCACAGTCCATCCTCCATCTCCATCCCTATCCTCATCAGGAAACCCTTCCCCCACCATCTCAAGACACTGGAAGGCAGGTAGGGAGGGGACCTCAGAGAGAGCATTTGAGAGTTGGCTCCACTGTCCTGCACCTCAACTTCTCTCAGTTGCATTTTAAGTCTTAGAATTCTTTCCTCTTTCCTCCACTCCCGCAGTCCTCTTCCTACCTCCAGTATGGGATTAGAAAGCAGAGGAAGCATTTTGGAGATCCTGGGATGTGTGACAAGAGTAGTAGAGTGGTCTTGATTCCTTGCTAAAACAGCTTTCCTTGTCAGTAGGGACCAGGACAGGGAAGGGAGAATAGGTAAACAGGTCTACTGCATTTTCTGCTGTTTGCCCAGCACAGCGCCCAAATTGGCCAGCAGTGTCCTGTTTGCATGACAGCTTAGAGGTAGTCTCTGCACTGCCTCACTCTCTCTCTTTCTCTTCTCTCTTCTCTTTACCTTGAAGGCCAGGTTTGTAAGCTAGTGCCTAAAACAGCAAGAGAGGGGAATTGGGGGAGGTAGTTTCCTAAATGTGGGGTGGGAGAAACACTTTTGTCCTTTGAAGCCCAGGGCAGTGGCACCTTGCGTAGACCTAAGGAGCACACTTTTGCTCTGGATGCCTGGATGCAGGCACAAGACTGCAATTATTGAGGATATGTTTAAAAACCAAAACCAAAACCTGTTCTCAGACTAGCCCGAGTTCTCTTACCGATGGTAAAAAGCAGTTTTCTTCACCTGAGCCCTCTAGCTAGTCTGGCATTCTTTTCCTTCTACCTCTTAGAGGGTTTGCCCTAAGAGAGGTTCTCCTTCCCCTCTGTAGCCCTTGTCTTCATTCTTTAAGAGCCACATAGGACATAGGCCAGGCCACACTAAAGTGGTGTCCTCTCACTGCTCTTGACCCTAAGGGCATATGAAGATTGTGAAAGGGATCTTCTTTTTCCTAGGCTTCCACAGGAAACACTGGGGAGCTGAGGGTTCCCTAGTTTCTCAGCTGTAGGATCCAGCTAGTCTGGGCTGTATCCAAGAAGGGGCACTGCCACAGTCCACCACTAATGACTCTTTTCTGCATCCTTTTGAGGCAGTTTCTGTTTAGGGGATTCTGGGTCTCTACAGGTGACCTCCAGCAGATACTGGAGGGATAGATCACTTTGTACTTACACTTATCATCCCTTATTGTAGTTTCTGTTTACATGCTTGTCTGCCCCCACTAGGCTGATCACCATGGGGAAAGAATCTAACTTACTCATCTTGTATCTTATCTAGCAGTGCCTGCCACACAGTGGGCAGTCAGAGAATGTTTCATGAAGGAAAGAATGTAAAAGAATAGTTATCTTTCCATGTGCCTGAGTGCAATTAAATTTATCCTATTAAGTCTTTATATTTTGAGTCTACCCCTTTTATGGTAGGCCTGAGTTTTCCTACATTTGTGCACCAGTTTCAGGTGTCTGAGTATGCCCTCATCTCTGAACAGCAAAGATATCAACACCGAGGGGTGTGCAATAGAGTAATCCCCACCCTATCTCCCTTTACCTGCTCAGGCAAGGCCACTTTGGAGAAGCTACAGAAACGATCTTTATTTATGTGCAACCATAGCGATTCCTAAGTATTCCTATTAATAAAGACGCCCGCTGCACACTTACACATGCATATTCCTGACCTAGGATTCCCAAATCCTGGCCGCCGAAGGTCGGGGGCCGTGTGCCCGGCTCCAGACCTCTCTAATTTGTGAAATGCGAAATCTGTTTTGGGCCCCAGTCTACGAGTGCCCGAATGTGTACCCGCGGTTTGAGAAGCTTCCCCTTTACTCTTTCCTCCTTCCCAAATTAGCCGCCATGCGCCGCGGCTACATTACGCTTTGTCCCTAAACAAATCTCGCACAAATCTTGAGGCACATTTTGTGCAAAGGCATACGGGCCGCGCGCATCGCAATCTCCTAAGCCAGAGGCTGTCACGTGCCCTTGCGCGCTCCCGCGCCTCAAAGCACGCCCCTAAACGCACGCGCACGCGCGTTCGAACTGCTCTGGTCCCTAGGCTTAAGCCTTCTGCGCGCTTCCGCCTTCATCCTAGCAACGCCCGTAGTGACGCCCAGGCCCCGCCCCGTCCCGCGCGCGCCTCCCGGAAGTTGCCGGCCCGGAGCAGAACGCCGGCTTCCTCGCGGTCCCCGGCTGCGTTGCGAGTTGGTGTCGGGGCTAGTGCACCCAGCCGGGAGAGAGCGTCCGGGCCAGGGCTTGAGGAGCACATTCACGCGCGCAGCGCGGACTGAGACCTGGCGACGATGGCGGGGCCGCAGCCCCTGGCTCTGCAGCTGGAACAGTTGTTGAACCCACGACCGCGCGAGGCGGATCCCGAGGCCGACCCGGAGGAGGGTGAGGCCTGACTGGGGCAGGCCACGTGCGGAGGTGTGGGCCAGGCCTGGTGGGTCTCGGGGGCGGCGTGTGAGAGCCCGGCCGTCGCACCCCGCCGCCTGGCCTGCTGCCCTTCCCCTAGCGCAGAGGAACATTGCCGCCCGCGAGGGTTGCTCCTTGCTCGGGAGGAGGGCTTCGGCGTCTTTTGACGCGCAGTTTAAAGTTGGTGCTCGGGCGGAACAGACGGAGGACTCAGGCAAGGAGCTGATGTTCGGGTTAACTTGGTCGAGGGCTGTTGGAGGGAGCTAAAGAGTCTCGTAGCAAGTTGGAAGTTATCTTACTGGTCTTTGCTTAGAAAGGAGGCAAAGGAAGTGTCCTCTTTTTTTGTTTGTTTGTATTTCACTTTGGTTGCCCCTAAGAAGTAACTTGGAGAATGAAGGAAGAAGTAGGATTCTCTGGTGCTGTTTAGCCCTCTTTAGGTCTCAAGACACTTGCTCAGGCGCTGACGACTGAGACTGCTGTTCTGTAAGCTGATGTTCGAGGTCTAGCTGGGAGTAATCATGCTTTAGACTCGAGTCAGAGAAATGTGGGGAAGGGAGAATGAGGGATAAATGTGAGTGCTGAACCATGTCTTAGGAATATCATTTGAAGAAACTAGGGGCTGTTTAGCCAGAATAAGTTAGGAAAACTCTCTGAGGGATGGGATGGAGTGAGACAACATGATGGCTGATTTAAGATAGGGAGTGACTGTCACACATGGAAGAGGAATTAGACTACGTTTATATGATCCAAGACATAGAAATGTATACTACTAGTAGATGCAGGGAGTCAGCTGTTCAGAAACAGCAGTAAGACATTGTTCTACCTTGGGAGGTAATGAGTTTCCTGTTCTTGGAAGTTGGTGGGTATTTTACAGAGGACATTAAAATATGAGTTGAAAGGGTTGAACACAGTTCACATTAAAGTTCCTTCTAACCTGCATATTCTGATTACTTTTCCCCCTCCTCCATCAGCCACTGCTGCCAGAGTGATTGACAGATTTGATGAAGGGGAAGATGGGGAAGGTGATTTCCTGGCAGTGGGTAGCATTAGAAAATTGGCTTCAGCTTCCCTCTTGGACACAGATAAAAGGTATTCTGGCAAGACCACCTCTAGAAAAGCTTGGAAGGCAGACCATTGGGAGCAGACTCTGCCAGGTTCATCTGGTAAGTAGACATATTTGTATGGAACTCTTTCTTACCTAATTTTTAGGATTAAAAAAAATTTTTTTCCTGGAGGGTATCTGCAAGGTTAGTCTCTGTGCCCTACCTATTATCTTAGAAGAGGCCATTGATTTGGTAGTAGAAAGGGCCATAGAGGTAACTTCATTTCACTTCATAAGGAATCTAAAGCCAAAGAGTGGTTAAGTTGATATATACTCCTTATATTCACCATAAAATAGAGTGAAAAAGAAGGCAATGCATAGTGGATATTGGAGAGGGCTATGTGTTAAAAAAAGCATTGTGTCTGATGAGCATGCTGCTCTTGAATTTTGACCTTTTTCCTTCAGTTTTTCAGGTCTTGCATTGAATCACTGTACAATATTAGTTATTTTGTGAAACTCATTTTTTGCCATTGTAAACATAACATAATCCTTCCCTCTTTCCCTGCAAGAGAGTTAGGAGGATGTAAGCTTACAGTTTTAAAGAATTATAAGTTTCTTAGGCTGGAAGAAGAGGCCAGATATGGTGATTATTGAGAGGATGCGATTTGTTTTCCTTTAGAGAGGTCAGAGTGTCATGTTAAGAGTCCACAGATAATATAAAAGGAACTATCATTCAGGTTATGATATCTATGATTTAGTCCTTGTTGTAGTTCTGGGAGCTCCTGATAAGCTCATTTCGTGTTCTTTGCCTAGAGACTGATAAAGGAACCAATCATGGGACCAATATAATATTTATTGCGTTCTTACCATGTGTCAGGCACTGTATTTAGCTCTATAATTTAAGTTCTAAGAGCATAGGACGCGTAAGCCCCCCCCCCCAAAATGTTATCGCCATTGTCATTAACATGTATCATCTCATTTAATCCTCTTTATAGCCCAACAGGTTGGTATTACTTATCCCCATTTTACAGATAAGGAAATTGATTAAGTAACTTAATCAATTGGGCAAATTGGTTAAGTAACTTGCTCAAGGTCATATAGCTAGTAAGTGAAAGAGCCAGGATTCTAATGAATGCAGTCTGACTCCAAGATCTACATTCTTAACTACTATTCTGTATGAATGTTTCTTAATCTGAGAACTGGCACACATTGAAGAATTGAATGGATTATTTCTGTTAAATGTTTTTGTATGTAGTTTTTGTATTTATATTTTTGACAATTTTATCTGTGTCTTAAGTTTATATCTCTGTAAAGAAGTACTGAAGACCCATCATGTTTTCATAAAATCTTTATTTTATTGAAGCACGTTATTGGCAATTGATCCCTGTATCTAATAATCATGCTTGCAGTATATGGAGCTTTTATGGTCTACCATGGAATAGGTTGAATAAATAGTAAAAATCTCTAGGTATCAAGAGATATTCTAAGTGTAAGTAAAACCAGGAGCCTTAACTAGCACTCTTTTATAGGATCAAGTTGAAACTCCTTCTCTTGGAAGACAGGACCCTTCCTGATTTGGTCCCTGAGCAACTCTAGGGTCTAGGCTCACTTCCCACCACTTCCTTGTTCATTCTGCACTCCAGTGCTGTTTCCTGTTTTTCTTCCCCTGTGACTGTCTGATGAGCTGTTTCCTTATGCTTCATAAATAAGATTATAAATGGCTCCTCCACATGAAGTTATCCCTTACCTTTCCAGGAGAGTTAGGTGGTTCCTTCTCTATATACAGTGTACTAATGACATTGTATTATAATTATTGGTATGCATATCTACCACTCCCACCAGACTGTGAACTCCTCCCTGCAGGCATTAAATTCTATTTGTCTTTTCTTAGCCTGTCTCATAATGCATGCTTAATAAGTATTTAGTAAATAGGGTACATAATTGTGACAGAGATACATTTTTTCAGATGCAGGTTTGGGGAAACTGGTAGTCCCAAGCACCAGCTGAAATCTTTCTGTTAAAGGTCCAGACCAAATGTTACCTCTTCCTTATGTATAGCCTTAGTTAAATTCACTTGCCCCATAGTTAAAATATTCTGAATTATTGAAATTCGATAACCAACAGGAGGGAGAAATTTTGTCAAAGCACTTTTAATTCTTTCTTGAATTGTAGTTTTTATGAATCTGTCATTCCCACTCTAACTTTTCATTAGGGTAGGACCTATGTTCTATTCATCTTTGCTTCCTCCTTGGCATTTTAGAGACAGTAGATGTGTAATAAATATTTATTGAATTGAGTTGAATTGAATACAGTAATACATGTTTTCCCCTCTGAAAGGTGCCATAGTGCTTTAGTTGAGATGAAAGATATGGCCTGGTATTTTTCTCTAGGTAACACCCATTTTTCTCTTTCTTCCCTCCCTTCTTGTTCAGAGAAGGAAATATCTGACGAGGAAGAGTCTGGAGATGGAGATTCAGAGGGCCTGTGTCCGGAGGAATCTGACGAGGATGACCTGAGTGCTGCTGAGGAACAGGAGAGTGGTGACGATGGTGAGAGCAGTCTGGCCTGGAGGAAGAAGAGCAGAAGCTGCTCTGCGAAAACACAAGGCTTCAGTGTCCAGAGTATTAGTGACTTTGAGAAATTTACTGAGGGAATGGATGACCTTGGGAGCAGTGAGGAGGAAGAAGACGAAGAGGAGGAGAGTGGCATGGAAGAAGGGGACAGTGAGGAAGACTTGGAAGGTGAGAGTGAGGAAGACAGAGCTGGTGGAGACAAGAGCAGTGAAGACGATGGTGTAGTAATGACCTTCTCCAGTGTCAAGGTTTCTGAGGAAGTGGAGAAAGGAAGAGCTGTGAAGAACCAGATAGGTTTGTACATGATTTTGCTGACTAGCTATTCTTCAAAGTATCTGCATTCAGTCTACTTTTTGTTTGTTTTTGGCTGTTCTGTCTCTCCTGTGTCCTTTAATTAGTTTGTGACATGCCCCACTTACCCGGAGGCCTAAAGCCCCGTTCCTCTATGCTTAGCCAGCCATTTATGCACTGAGCTGCTTAGCTAGTTCTGCTCTAGTACTTCCCACAACTGTGAGAGATTGAAGAGAAGAGTGTTTTCTCTTCTCCTTGGGTTTTAGCATTCCCACTCTCATGTAGCAAATACTCGCTTTGAAGATACTGAATTTATATCCTATAATAGAGTGTTTCCATGGCATAAAACTGATAAAGGTGTGGTGCTTAGAGACCGGTATGGTTTCCTGTCTCCACCACTCCCCACCCCTGGAAGACTTTTTAATTGAGGAATTGGATTCTTTTTTCTTTCTCAGCACTGTGGGACCAGCTCTTGGAAGGAAGGATCAAACTACAAAAAGCTCTGTTGACCACCAACCAACTTCCTCAACCAGATGTTTTCCCAGTTTTCAAGGACAGAGGTGGCCCAGAATTTGCCAGTGCCCTAAAAAATAGTAAGAGTACTTACTTATTCCATTAGAACTACTTAGATACTGCTTTTGTCAAATGAAGACAACTTTGACTGAAATGGACTGGGTGCTTGAGCTGTGTCTATTCTGCTTTCTTCTCACCTGCCCGCTCTCTCCCTTCCCCATTCCCCTTGGCTTTCTAAGTTAACTTCTTTGAAGCTCAAGGAACACACTTGAAAACCCACTGGTATAGACAAAAGGGAAAAAATGAATGACTAAATTCAGTTTATTTAAGTTGGTTTATCATGTGCTTAAAAGATGCCTTCCTTTGTTTGGGAGGTTTTTATTATAGAATAACATGTTAAGATGATCTCATTTATCTTTCTACGGGTGGCCTAGAGGGAGGAACAAGTTTTGGAAGAGAATTGCTGACAATAAGTCAAAGAATTCTAGAAGAGAAAAGACATTTAGAGATTATTTGATTCCTAGTCTCCTCATTTTATAGACGAGAGAACTGAGGCACATGGTAACTTGTCCAAAGTTGCAAAGCTTGTTCCTGCATGGCAGAGACAAAACTCCAGCTTTTCTGCCTTATGATCTAGGAGTTTTTCTTTTGCACCACTCCCTCCTATGTACTGCTTGTGTGCCCAGTGGCACTGAAGGATTGGAGCAGAAGGGGATTTGGGATGAGTGCACTGTGGTTGGAATCACTGTTTATCCCATCCAAGTACTAACCAGGCCCATCCCTGCTTAGCTTCCAAGATCAGACGAGATCAGGTGTGTACAGGGTGGTATGGCTATAGGCCGAATCACTGTTTCTTATTTGCACATTGACTTAGTGTTTTCATTTGCTCTTTAATACTTTATAGTATCATGGAGTTAAGAATTGGAAGGGACCTAACCCAAGGAGGGCATCTAATTTGGCATTTGCTTCTAGGAAGAATCGCCTTAAACCATTCATGATAAATTAATAGGATTTCTATGGTAGGGAATTCATTGGACATTTCTTATAGGAAAATACTTGTTTTAATTAGGAATGTGACTTCCTAGATCCAATTTTTAGGTTTTGTGTCCTGTCATACTTGAAGTTTGTTTCCTGTGTGAAAAGTCTGGGGAATCCGTCCAGGAACCTTGAATAATCTGTGAGGGTGGGTTTTTTATGCTTCCTCTCCCATCTTTGCTCCCTTCCTTAAATAGACAATAGATTGATCGTTTTCAATTTTTTTTTTTTTTGAGATTTTTGGAGCACTTTGCTGCTATTTTTAATGCCCTAGTACCCCAATTCCTGATATGCCTTTGGCATGAGACCTAGACTGCTCTAGATTAAATGTCTTAAATGTTTCATGATAAAGCCTTTTCTATTTTGTTGTTTGTTACTCTTCTTGCTTGAGCCTTTTCCCTTTTTTTATTCATCTTAAAATATATTCATTTTAAGATTTAGTCAGTGTCCAGTATAATGGATACATTCTTATTCTTGGATACCGTTTAATTTCTTTAGCCATTCTAATGTTGTTTAAATTTTATTTTGTTCTGATCTTTTAAATCTTTTTGTACTTAACCAATTGTTTCTTTGCCTCATTGGTGAACTTCAGTTAATCTGACAGAGTGGATTGTGGTGGAGGAGGAGGAAGAAAGGATCATGTGATATGTTTGGTATCACATATTCAAAGATGAGAGGATAGTGAATTCTCTAATAACCAGAATTTCTGTGCATAAGAAGGATAGCTAATTTTTGTTTGTTTCAATTTTCTTTTGGCAACATGACAATATGTGGTATATACTTCCCTGTCTTGTCAAATGGAGTTTAAGAAAAATTTCTTGGCTACATTACTCTGGATGACAAATATATACTATTCTATGTAGCTGGTGTGCGGCATAGGCTGAATTTGTATCAAGCCTAGAACAAACTATTAATAGAACTTACTGTCTTTAATTAAATCTCTTTTCAATTTGCTTGGTTTTACAGAGTAGTTAAAGTTAGACTGCCTGGGTTTAGATTTCATCTCAGCAATGGATTAGCAATGTGACCTTGGGCGAGTTACTTAACTTCCCAGTAAAATGGGGATAATATGGTTGTGAGGATTAAAGGACATAATCAGTATAAAGCATTAGCACAGTGTCTGGCACACATCATGTCATAAATGTTAAGCACTGGTATCTTTTTCTGCTGAAAGAGGCTTTTGGCAATGTTCAACCATATGAACAATGAACGTTCATTTCATTGTTCCTAGTGTAACTAACCATCATCCGCACTGTCTTTAGTGGTTTTGTTGTTGTCGTCGTTGTTTTTAGCATTCAGATTCATAGAATTCATATTAACTATTTGTTCTGGAAAGTGGGTAGTGTTATAATTTAATAATTATTCAGGTTCAGCCTTTTATGACAGTATAGAAAGGTGGCTACAGATTTCCTTATTGTCAAACCCCACTACTGCCTTCCTGAACCATTTAATCTTTCCTTGAAATACTTTTCTTTGGTTTTGGTGACACTGCATATGTTATTTGGGTTTTCCTGCAATTCCGATCTCTCCCATTCTCAGTCCCTTCTTTTATATTTTCAATATAAATTTCATTGCATTTAAAATCTTGTCCTCAGGTTGTGTTTTCTCAATATATGTATTCCCTCCTTGACACTGTCATTTGATCTCATAGCTCTAACTTCTGCCTCTAAAATAGCAGATTTCCAGCTATATTCTAGCCACAGTAAATTCCTGAGCACCATGGCTTTGTACATTCAGCACCCTAAACTCGACTTTTCAGAAACTAAATCTTCCTCCCTGCCCCTGTACACATAAACTTAGTCCCCGATCACCTCGGTGTTATATATTGGTAATTTAAACTCTTGAACCGTGAAGTGATTTCAAAGAAATCTGTTGATATTTCAGTGGCTGCATGAGTGGTAAGTCATGAAGTAACCTTAACAAAATTAAGGAATTTTCTGTGCATAAACCATTTCTATAAAGAGGTTTGCTTTTTCTCTCTTTCTTCTGAAATGCTCTACAGTGTTAGGAGATGGGCCTTTTATGTCGGTGTCAATGATATGTAAGGAAGAAAAGCAAGTTACTTAAGGAAATTTCAACATGAGTTATTTAAATTTTTTCATTATGGAATATATCAAACCTATGTAAAAGTAGAGAGAATAGTACAACAACCCTCCCCCCCCCCAATATACCTTCACCAGCTTAGGCAGTGATCAACTCATGGCCAATCTTATTTCTTTTTTTTTCTTTTTTTTTTTTTTTTTTTGAGATGGGGTCTGGCTCTGTCATGCCCAGGCTAGAGTAGAGTGGCATCATCATAGTTCAACTGCAACATCAAACTCCTGGGCTCAAGTGATGTTCCTGCCTCAGCCTCACTAGTAACTGGGACTACAGGTACAAACCACTGTGGCAGGCTATTTTCTGTTTTTTGTAGCGACTGGCTCTTGTCTTGCTCAGACTGGTCTGGAACTCCTGACCTCAAGCAATCCTCCTGCCTTGACCTCCCAAAGTGCTAGGGTTACCAACATGAACCACCATGCCTGGCTGCCAATATTCGTTATACTAACTCCTCTCCCTTCTGTTTTGAAGCAGGTAATAGACATTCTTTCATTTTATCAGTAAATCTTTCAAGATGTATGTCTAAATATAAGGATTTTTTAAAAAATCATAATAACCGATTGGGCGCAGGTGGCTCATGCCTGTAATCCTAGCACTCTGGGTGGCCAAGGCGGGTGGATTGCTCGAGGTCAGGAGTTCGAAACCAGCCTGAGCAAGAGCGAGACCCTGTCTCTACTATAAATAGAAAGAAATTAATTGGCCAACTAATAAATACAGAAAAAATTAGCCGGGCATGGTGGTACATGCCTGTAGTCCCAGCTACTTGGGAGGCTGAGGCAGTAGGAATGCTTGAGCCCAGGAGATTGAGGTTGCTGTGAGCTAGACTGATGCCACAGCACTCACTCTAGCCTGGGCAACAAAGTGAGACTCTGTCTCAAAAAAAAAAAAAAATCATAATACCATTATCCCACATAAAAAACACTAACAATTATTTCTTAATAAGCATAACTGATTTAGATGGTTGGGAGAATTGAGAGAGCATTTCTGTAACTGGACCTCTCTATTGTCTTTTTCAGAGTTTGCTCCATAACTTTAAATGAAGAGATTAAATGAAAGCTAAACTTCACCCATAATAAGTTGACCTTTTAGTGAAATGCATGTTATTAATGTATTTAATGAGATGCATTACAAACTTCAGCGAGCACCATGTTTCATTATAGGTCTAAAATGCAATATCATTAAAGACCTTTAATAGAAACTATGGTTGACATTTTGATATTTCCCATAAGCAAAACATCCAAGAACACAGTATAATGTAATATATATACAGAGGAACTATTAAAATTTTTTACTTGCCTAAAAATATAAAAAATTTCACTATTAATTAATAAATTATATTTTGTTTGCTCCCTCCATCTTCCCAGTTCTAGTTTGTATTTGTCCTCTTATGTCTTTGTGGCCTTTCCCTGAGACCCCCAAATATTTTGACTTGAATGGTATAAAACTTTTTTCTTGTTTTTTTTTTAAGATATATTCTCGCTCTGTTGTCCAGGCTGGAGTGCAGTGGCATCATCATAGCTCACTGCAACCTCAAATTCTGAGCTATGGTGCCCAGCCTAAATTTTTGTTTATTTTTAAGGAGGCAGTAAATTCACATGGTTCAGAATTCAGAAGATACTAAAGACTATATAGGAAAATCATCCTTCTCACTTCTGTACTCTTGCCACCCAGTCCCCTATCCCATAGGCAACCAATTTTATCAGTGAGATCCCCACCTTTTTAATTACTTAGTTGCCTTAGGTGACAAATCCATGAATGCCTGTTTGAGAGTTCTCTGAATTAACACTTTATGGGTTCATGGCAAAGTTCTCACAGTGATCTGTTGAACCCTGAAATATTCCTAAATCTTGAGATGGGTTTAAGTATTGCTTGGGACAGAGGCATTTGCAACCTTCTCCAGGTATGGTATTTTATAGGCTTAAGGACCCTTATTACTGTAGACTTCATC